GTGTGTGTGTGTGTGTGTGTGTGTGTGTGTGTGTGTGTGCGCGCACAGACACATGTACGTTTGGGCACATATATGTGTGTACTTGGGTGTGTGTATTATTTGCGTGTGTGTGTGTGTGTGTGTGTGTGTGTGTGTGCCTGTGTATGCAGAGAGAGAGAGCTCAAGGGACATTATAGTGACTCACGAAGCGGCTGGAATTGTTGTTGCGCACCGTCTTGGCATTGCCGAAGGCTTCAAGCAGTGGGTTTGACTGCAGGATTATGTCTTTGACATGCTAGGGTAGAGCCAGGCAGAAAGGATCAGTCTGGGTCAGATGGGTGTACTTGAGGGAGACCGGACATGCCCTTTTGTTCTTGTCTCACCTGGACCTTGTCGCCCCCACCAGACACCTTGGAGATGTAGCCCATGATGTACTTAGCAGCCACTGTCTTCCCAGCTCCGCTCTCCCCACTGGAGGTGGAGGGAGGAAGGAATAATTAGTGGGCGGTGATAGTGGGAAGGATCTTTCCTAATGCCCAGTCATTCATTAATTCATGCATGTATTCATTGTTTTACAGAGCACCCACAGTGTACTGGACCCTACTCTAGGTTCCAGAGATTCAACCATGGGCAAGGAAAAAAAAAATCCCTGCCCCAGAGGCTGGAAGGATGGCTAAGAGCACTTATTGTTCTTGCAGATGACCTAGCTCTGCTTCCCAGCACCTACAAGGTGGTGATAACCACGTGTAACTCCATTTCCAAGTGATTGGACACCCTCTTCTGGCCTCTGAGGGCAACAGTTTCGAATGATATGCTGCAGGCTAATCATGCACACAGTTAACATAAAATAGTAATTTTTTAAAATAAAAAATCTTCTTCCCTCCCCCTCCATTGTAGCATGTGGCAGCCCCAATAAATATAAATAAATAAGTAGATATAATGTAAAAATCCCTTGATCTGGGAAGATGGCTCAGCACCCGTTGCTAAGCCTGAAGACCTGGGTTCAGTCCCTCAGAGAGTGGAAGGAGAGAATTGATCTTGGAAGTTGTCTTCTGACTTACATGCTTACCTTGACATGCACCCACACTCATACACACAAGATATGAATAAAACGTAATTCAAAAAATTTACCCCCCCCAAAATAAAACAGGGTGGTGGTGGCGCACATCTTTAATCCCAGCACTCTGGAGGCAGAGGCAGGTGGATCTCTGTGAGTTCCAGGACAGCTGGGTTGTTACACAGAGAAACCCTGTCTCTAAAACCAAAACCAAAACCAAAAAATTCATACCCCTGTTTATTTACTTGATGTGTATATATGGTTATGAGCACGGTATATGTGTTTTTGGTATATGTGTGTGTGTTTATGTATTTGTGAGCCCATATGCACAGGCTGGAGGGCATCTGGTATCCTGCTCCATCACTCTCTCTGCCTGATTCCCTTGAGACAGGGTCTCTCACTGAATCTGGAGCGAGGCTTGTGGCCTGCAGGCCCCAGCATCCCGCCTGTTTCAGTGTCTCCCAATGCTGGAGTTATAGGTGTGTGTATCTATGCCTGGCTTTTTATGTAAGTTCTGGGAATTTGACCTCAGGGTCTCATCCTTGAGCATCAAATGCTCTTACCGGTTGAGCCATTTCCTTAGTACCGGAGCTGAAATTTAGGAGGAAAAAAATGGGCAATAATAAAATGAATAGATACACCGATTCAGGAGCCATAGCAGGAGCCAAGGGATATACTGAAAGTAGAAGAGAGAAATGGGGACAGAGGGACAGCATGGCGTGGTTTATGAGTTCATGACAAGCCAGCCTTGGTGGCAGTGTTTGAGGACATTCCTGGACAGACTGTTCCAGAATCCCTCACCCCGCCGTACCTGATAATGACACACTGGTTCTCACAGTCGATCAGCATATTCCGATACATGTTGTCAGTGAGGGCATAGATGTGCGGGGGATTCTCATACTGGGCCTGGTGGGGGAGTTCAGGGGTCAGTCCAGAGCTGGGGGCCTCAGAGGGTAGGTGTGGGCATACCCATCCAACCTGGACTCACCGCGCCCTGGTAGAGGTCAATTTCTCGGTCAGTGAAGTAGGGCATCTGCTTGAAGGGGTTTACAGAGATAAGCACTGGGCCGATGTATGTCTTGAGAGGTAGTTAAGAACCATGCAGTGTCTTGCTTTGCCTTTCAAATACTTCTTACCCCTTATTCTATCCCGACAAGACTTCTCCAAACCACTTTGCTTGGAGAGAGAGAGGTGAGATGCTTGAATGCACCTTGGGTCTCTTAGGAAAAGAAGGCTGGATCCAGAAAGAGGGGAATCAGCGGTTTAGCTTCTCCAAGGCAGGGGTGCGATGGCAGCTCCAGCATCTCAAACCACAGCACTACTGTTCAGTCTTCCCATCCTTCCTCCATTCATTCATCCTCTCCTCCAACCCTGGGCCGGGCTTTCACAGGTCCTGACTGCCATCCCTTTGGCACCCTTCCCTGCCCCAGTCCACCATTCTAACTTCTATTGCCCAGTCACCCTCCCATGCCCCTGCACTGCTTGGGATACAAAAATGTAGTCATCCATAAAACGCTTGCGGAGGTTGCTCACAATGGCGTCCTCTGAGATCTGGGACAGCAGCACCATGTCATCCACACCACTCTGCTTCACGTTGTGACTCTGCCAGTGAAAACGCTCCTTGCTGCCCTGTGGATGGCAATGGAGGGATGGAGGGTGAGCCCTTTCAGGGGAGCATGGTTGGGGTATCTGGTTTACTTCCACCGCAGCTTCTGCTTCCACAGATACCCCAGTAACGGCTAGATTTTGTTTGTTTGTTTTTGGTTTTTGAGTCAGCATTTCTCTGTGTAGCCCTAGCTGTCCTGAAACTCACTCTGTAGACCAGGCTGACCTTGAACACACAGAGATCCGCTTGAATGGCTAGTTTTAATTCTTAGCTGGATACAATTTAGAATCATCTGTTAAGAGTTTCAATGAGGGACTGTCTAGGTCACTTTGGCCTGAGAAATGTCTGTGGGAGGTTGTCCTGATTACACCCCAGCCCTTCACTGGGGTATTCTAGGCTAGCATTACACCAGTCTTTGCAGAGAGAGGGTTGGATACAAGTAATCATTCTCTCTCTGTCTCTCTCTCTGTGTGTGTCTCTCTCTGTGTCTCTATCTCTGTCTGTCTCTGTCTCTGTCTCTCTCTCTCTCCCCCAGCCTGTAGCCCCTGGCTAACCTAGAACTCACTATGTAAACCAGGTTCCTATCTAACTCATGAAGATCAGCCTGCTTCTGCCTCCCGAGTGCTGGGATTAAAGGTGTGTGCCACTGTGTTTGGCTCTCTCTGCTTTTGACTGTGGATGTGACTAACTAGCTGCTTCACGTCTCTGCCCTTACTTCCCCACAATGATGGACTGTAGCCTGGAACTGTGAGCCAATGAAACTTGATATGCTGATCTTTCTCAGGTCAAGCAAGGGGATCAATCCTTCCCCTATTAAGTTGTCTGGGTCAGGCATTTTGTCACAGTGAAGAAAAAGCTAGTGAAAGAAGAACATTGAGAGGTGAGGAGGCCAAAGAAAGTGTGGTGGTTTGAATGAGATCCCCCTCCACAGTCTCTGGTATTTGAATACTTGGTCACCATTCTGATGGTGGTGGCACTGTTTGGGCAGTTTGAAGGTGTGGCCTTGCTGTAGGAAGTAAGTCTCTCTGATTCCTGCTGATGTTTTGAGACGTGAGTTCTCAAATTTCAAGTTCAGTCACCATGCCTTCCTACTCCTACAATCCCCCACTCTGATGGTGATAGGCTGTTGTCACTCTGGAACCATAAGCCCCAAATAAACCCTATCTTAGTTACTTTTCTAATGCTGTGACAAGACACTTTGACCAAGTCGATTTATAAAAGGACATGTTTTATTCGGCTTACAGCTCCAGAGGGTGAGAGTCCAAGACAACAGAGCAAAGGCATGGTGGCAGGAACAGCTGAGAGCACACGTTCTGATCCACAAACAGGAGGCAGTGAGGGCACGTTGGCAATGGTGGCAGTTTTGAAACCTCAAAACTCGCCCTCAGTGTCATACTCCTTCAACAAGGCCACACCTCTCAAACTGCCTGAACCATGCCATCGGCTTGAGACTAAGTATTAAAACATATGAATAGAGGAGAGCAAGATAAGAGATACCATATTACAAGGAGCCATTATAGGTTTAAAGAGAAATCAGGTGCTAGGGAAATGTCTGAAGATCTACAACGATGACACCAAGTAACAATCTCAGCAACAGAGGAGAGGCTACCTTAAATGCCCTCTCCTGATAATGAGATTGATGACTGACTCATATGCCATCCTAGAGCCTTCACCCAGCTGGTGGAAGCAGAAGCAGACACCCACAGCTAAACACTGAACTCAACTGGAATCCAGGTGCAGAGAAGGAGTGATGAGCAAAGGGCTCAAGAGCAGGCTGGTGAAACCCACAGAAACAGCTGACCTGAACAAGGGGGAACTCTTTGTCCCCAGACTGAAAGCTAGGAAACCAGCATGGGACTGATCCAGACCCCATGAACACAGGTGTCAGTGAGGAGACCTCGGAAATCTATGGGGCCTCTTGTAGTAGATCAGTACTTATCCCTAGCATAGGAATAGAGTTTGGGAGCCCATTCCACAAAGTGGGATACTCCCTGAGCCTAGACACAAGGGGGTGGGCCTAGGCCCTATCCCAAAGGACATGACAGACTCTGAAGACCCCCTATGGAAGACCTCACCCTCCCTGGGGAGCAGACAGGGTATGGGATAGGTAGCATGTTAGTTGGGGGTGGCAGGGGAGGAGGGAAGGCAGAGGGAACTGGGATTGACATGTAAAATAATCTTGTTTCTAATTTAAATAAAAAATGGAGAGAAAGAAAAAAAATGATCCTGTGGGGACATTCTCATTCATATTTAAGTATGGATCTCTGGGGAGTCTCTGTGTACATGGGGGACTCTTTCTCCAGCAGGGATTAACACCTTCAAGAGTTCTGAACTGGGGCATGGAATGGGGATACTTTTGAATAGCAGGGTTTTGTTTTTATCTGTGCTGGGGATGGAACACAGAGCCTTGTGCATATTAGTTAACTAACTGGTCTACTACTGAGCTTCACCCTCAGCCTGTGTGGCTTTTTTGTTTTGTTTTGTTTTGTTTTGTTTTGTTGTTGTTGTTGTTTTGAGACAGGGTTTCTCTATGTAGCCCTGGCTGTCCTAGAAGTCACTCTTTAGACCAGGCTGGCCCCAAATTCATAGAGCTCTGTGGGATTAAAGGTGTGCACCATTACTGCCCAGCCTGTGTGGCTATATTTGGTTGTCTTAGAGATGGGGATATGGTTGGCAGTTAGTGGGTGGATGCCTGCACACAATTCATTAGAGATGGGAGAAGGGGAGACTGACTCACTATGTAGCTGTGAGAGGCCTGAAACTCACTAAGTAGACCAGACTCCTTCCAATTCACAGAGTTTTCTTGGCTCTACCTCTGAGTGTTAGGTTAATAGCATTGTCACCACTCCTGTGTTAACAAAAATATTTCATATGCAAAGAGAAAATCAATACCAGTTGAATATCTTTTTTTTTGTTTTGGTTTTTCCAGACAGGGTTTCTCTGTGTAGCTTTGGAGCCTGTCCTGGCACTCGCTCTGGAGACCAGGCTGGCCTTGAACTCACAGAGATCCACCTGCCTCTGCCTCCTGAGTGCTGGGATTAAAGGTGTGTGCCACCAACAGCCCAGCCTGTAGGGAGACACCGTACCCACGCCTCCTAAAGGCTGGCTACAGGTGTGCTTAACCACGCCTGTCAGGGCGTGGTCAGGAGATGTTCAGGATGACGTGTGTGGGGTTCTTAATGTGTGGGAGAAATGTGGGAGCTCTCTCTCTGGTCTTGCTGCCTCTGGCATGCTCTGGCTTGTGCTTGGCCAGTATTATTTAAATAAAGATATCTTAACCTACAAGCTCCCGTCACGTGACTCCCAATGTGAGGCAAAGATCTGAGTTTCAAAGCTTACAAGATAAATTACAGAACAGAGCTAACAAACTAGAAATGTCTATCAAGTCTATTGCTGAGGCAAGTCACAACCTTGATTCTAAATTTCAATTCCTGGATGGCAGTTTCCATGCCACCCAGATGCTAGCTAGGGACAAACATATTACACGTCTAGCAAACCTTGGGGAACAACAGTCACGGCAATTCATGGATTCGCTATCATGCCTTAAATCTTTCATGATGAATGAGATTAAAACCTCCCATGAGGACGTCGTAGCTAGGCTCAAGGACCTATTTGAGGATGAGGAGATGGAATCGCTCCACTCTGAGACACCTACTCCAAACAGGTATTTCAATCATTCTAAAATCGTTGCATGTACACCATTGGTCTACCCAGCAACAATGATAGAAAAGCCACCAACTAAAAAACACTCCCAGGGACAGATGGCATATATATGACAACCTATACAGTTAAAAGATTTTAAACATATTAAAGAATCAGTTGTCTCTTATGGTCTTCATAGCCCATACATAAAACAGCTATTGCATTCATGGGCCAACTTTAACAGAATGATGCCCGCAGATTGGGTAGGACTGATGTCAGCTGTCCTTGAAAATTCACTTGGCCGATATTATTTAAATAAAGATATCTTAACCTACAAGCTCCCATCACATGACTCCACACTGGCCAGTTGAATATCTTTAATCAAAATGTTAGGAATCTGAAGTGTTTCAAGATTTTTAAATTTATTTTTATTTTTAAATAAGCAACCAACCAAAACAATAAAACAAAACAAACAACAAACTAAACAAACAAACAATACCACCACCAAAAAACACCAAACAGCAAACCCATTTTGGAACATAAGCATGGTGGCTCCAAGCACTTGAGAGGCCAAGGAAAGACTGCCATGGCTTGAGGCCAGCTTGTGCTACAGAGTAAGACCCTGTCTCAAAAACCCAAATGTATTTTTTTTTTTTAAAAAAAGGCGACATAGCTAAACACTGAACCATACTACTGGAATTCAGTTGTGGAGAGGGAGAGGGATGAGCAAAGGAGCCAAGACAGGGCTGGAGAGACCTGTAGAAACAGTGAACCCGACCTACTGATAGAATGGAGACCCTATTCATAAAGCTGGGGAAACAGCATTGGACCTAACCAAACCCTCTGAATGTGGGTACCAGCTAGGAGTCCAATACAGTCTAGGGGTCTTCTAACAGCGGAGCCAGTCTTTAGTCCTAGAGTACAAATGGACTTTGGGAGCCCATTCCCTATGGATGGATACTATTGCAGCCCAGATACAGCAAGGAGGGTCTAGACCCTCCCCTAAACATTATGACAGACTTTGAGGAGTGGGAGGGTGGGTTGGGGTGGGTTGGGTGGGGAACATGGGAGGATGGAAGGGCGAGAGAATGGGGGGATTGATAGTAAAATAAAGTAATTAAAAATAATTTTAAAAAAATGAAAAAAGAGCATCCTTCCCGATGGGATGATTTGAAACTGGTGATATCAAATGTTAATTTTTTTGAAAGTGATGCTAAGGAAAAAATCCTGTTCCAGGATTTATAAGAAAAATAAAGGGTAACTGAATGTGAAAATATGCTTTCACCAAATAACCAAATAACTTCTAAACTGCTTTTTGTTAAGCAAACATAACATTTAAATAAAGAAAATTAATTTAAAAAAATCTGAAGAGATGGGTTGG